TGTCTCTTTTCTGTTGTTTAGAGTCTCCTTTTAGAAGCTTGCTTTTCTGTTTGTGCTTTTTTATTTCTACTTCCATTTGGCAATTGGTAATTTCCCCTATTCCCAACCTCCTCTTTCTAAAAGATCTGAAAATTTACTTGGCTTTCATTTCGTGCTTTATTAGCATTCCAGTTCCAACAAGAAAGGAAGAATAATGTTGAAGAAATAGCTCTAAGATCTTGAACTCTGTGGACTGAGTTGTTACTTCCTAGGTCTGTGACCTTCAGAAAGTCATTTAACATCTCTGGACCTTACTTTCCCCTTTTGCAAAATGGTGAAGGGAGGGAGTAACCTGAGGTTAATGAACTTGATTTTTAATAATATTTTAATAGCTATATTCCAATATAATTGGCTTCCTTTGTAATCCTTTCTATTTTACACATTTAAAAACATTCTGAGAAGGGGTCCATAGGCTTCATTAGACTACCCAAGGCTAGACTACCCATTGACACAGAACAGGCTAAGGATCCTTGGACTAGATGATTTCCAAGGCCCCTTCTGACTTTAAATCATATTTTTAAAAAAATATTTTTTATGAAGGTGGCCATGTGACTTTCTTGGTTCTTGAATGTATATCCTCTGTTAGCTCCATTTTTCAACTGCTGTACAAACATTCATTTCTGTTTACTGAGAGGCCATATCGGCAGAGTTAGGATAGGGACAGATTAGACATTAGAGTCCTCTGTTCCTCAAAACACACGAGTGCCCTTCTGTGCCTCCAGAATAAAATACCAATCCTCTGCCACCTAAAGTACTCTTCCAGTCTTGTTACACATTACAGACCCTCTCCACTCAAACCAGAATGGCCAATGTACTGTCCCTCTCCCTAGCTCCCTAAGTGCTGGTGCCAGTTCCTACAAAATAAGGCCTTCCTGATCCCCAGTTGCTTAGGGTCTCTCTTCCCCACTGGCAGTCATCTTGTCTCTCCTTTGTATGTACCTTACATTTCCTTACATAGGTGCACACTTCCCAGAATGGAATGTAGAGAACTTGAGGGCAGGTACAGTTTCATTTTTGTCCTTGTTTCCATAGTACCCAGCACATAGTAGACTGTTCATCTAACTTCATTCTTAGTTGTTCTTCTGTCTCTTGGTCATAGCTGCTTTCTTAGCTGTTGTATTGCTGAAACCTTGCAAGATATCTTGGGGTTTACTGGCTAGATTTCTTTTTTAAGGAAGATGCCTTAAACCTAAGTCACTCTGATTCTCACTGATTGGCCGAGCCCAAGCTTGATAGGTCCCAGCCCAAGCCTGCTTTGGTCATTGTTTGGGTTCTGTGAATGTAAATAGCAATTGTGTCTGTTTTGGTCAGAAACCCTGAGCATCTTCCCCTCCCAGACTGATTTTTTTTTTTTTTTTGACTAGGTAAAAGAGGCTGTTTTTTTGCCTCATTTGTTACCTAGTCAATCATTGAATGGGCATTTCTTCAGTCAAACTGAGACCTGGAAAGGACCTTAACTTAAAAAGGCCAAGGTTTCCCACTGTATCCAGGCCCATCTCCAGTCATCCTGATCTCTATGTCTGGCCACTGGACCTAGATGACTCCAGAGGAGAGAGTGAGGTGGTGACTTTGCACAACCTCCCTCACTTAAATCTAATTCATTTGCAAGTAATGATATCACCTTCCCAATGTCATGGTCCTCTTGGACAACCAACAACAAGAAGCTGTTGTTCTGCTTAATCAGTAAAAGCTTTAAGCCCCTCAGCTGTTCTCTTCTCAGACCTGTTTTAGTGTAGCTCACATTCTGTGTATGCCTAGCATGTTTCCATACCGTAAATGTCATGAGTTCCAGTGGGGAAAGTGCTTGACTTGGAATCCAAAGATGTGAGTTTGAAACTCAACTCAGCTACTTAATGGGATGTTGGGAAATTAAGCCCCTTAATCTCCTAGAGCATCTGTTTCTTCATCTATAAAACAGGTACAACACCCAATCTGCCTAACTCACAAGGTTATCATATGGACTGAGTGAGACCCTACATAGAAATCCTTTTTAGTCAAAAAGTGCCATAGAAATATTCTCATTGTTTAATAAACACGTGTTAAGCCAAGTCAAAACTAATAATTTGAGTGGAGTTAGTACTTAGCATACATGTCATGGTGAGTTGTTAAAAGATGGATTCCTTTTGCCAAAGGTGATTATATCGCACTTACAGATGAAGGGATTTTGCTAGCTGCAAGAGATGAATGTAATCACCTCCAAATAACTGCCAATAATTTTTGGACCATCTGAAAAACACATTTATTTTTATTAAGGATCGTGTTTTTGAAATTCACATTTGAATGTATCAATTTTACTGGGAATCCATAGCCCTGCATACTAAGCATAAGAATCTACATTGTGAAGGTCTAATTTCAAAAAGTTGTCTAGCTTCTATGTCCTTGCCTCAGAATTATTTAAGATGCTGTATTTAAAGCTATTTACAGATAAGATTGAGTAACCACATAAATTAGCATATACATAGATCTCTCTGGTTGTCAATTATCCCCAAATTGATTATCCATAGACATTTTTTTGTTTAGCTCAGTTATTCCACACAGCCCATTACAAGCCTACCTTGGCCATACCTAGACAGAATTGTGACATAGATGGAGTTTACATATAATCTAGACATTCCCCTTTCCCCCGCCCCACCCAAACTACCCCTCTCCTTAACTTCAAAGGTACCACCATCCTCCCAGTGGTCCAAGCTGTAAACCTAGGTGTGCCATCCTTGACTCCTCACTCTCTCTCTCACTCTCCCAACCATCTCTCTCACATACCTCCCCCCTTCTCTCCTTTGGTACTGCCCCGACCCTGGGCAGGCCTTTATCACCATCATCTGTTTGGCCTCCCTGACTCTGGGCTCTCCCCTCCCCATTCCAAATTGGTCCTCCTGACGGGCAGTTCTGACCATGTCAGTAAACTCCAGCAGCTCCCTCTTACCTCCAGGACCTAACATAAAATCCTCAGTTTCACTTTAAATCCCTTCTTGACCTGGCCATTTACTACTTTCCCAGGCTTCTTATACTTTACTCCCCTCCACACAGTAGGATCCAGGGACACGGACCCTTCCACCGCTCCCCAAACAAGACATTCTACCCCCCATCTCTGTCCCCCCAGGCCTAGAATGAACTTCCTTCTACCTCCCAGCCCCCAGCTTCCTTCAGGTCTCAGCTAAAATCCCACCTTCTTCCCCAAGTCTTTCCCAGTCATCCTTAAATGCTAACGCGTTCCCCTTGAAGCTACTTTCAGTTTCTCCTATATGTGTCTTGTTTGTAGGTAGTTGTTTGTATAGTTGTCCTCCTTTAGTAGACAGTGAGCTCCTTCAGAGCTGGGGCTCTTCTTACCTTTCTTTGTGTTCCCAGGGCTTAGCACAGTGCACAGAATAGGCTTTTAATAAATGCTTCCTGACGTGACTACCCTGTGTATGTCATGACTAGCCTCCTTAACTTTGTGAACTTCTGAAATTCGTGTTTGCAAGAACCGTAATCAAAGCAGAAGCTTCCACTTAACAAGATTGGAGAGTTGGACTTTAAAGAAAAACAGGATTCATCAGTCTCCCATTTTACTTACTTATTATAGATATTAGCTACCTTTCAAACTGAAGCTCTGACATATGGATAATCTTTACGTGGATGAGAAATGAATAAAACATGCAAGTATCGGTTTCTGGAAAGTTCCTAAATATAAGAATTGTATTCTATCCAAAATCCCAATCATATTTTCTAAACCAACAGTCAGAACATATGACAAAGATATTCCTGTTGCAAAACCCTCATTAACAGTTTACTTTCTTTCTGAAATATTGCTGTGGTCCTGGAGTATCCAGAGTGGATGTCTCCTGTCCTCCTTTGTACTCCCACCAATGACTGTTAGATGCTGTCCAAATGATCTGTTGATTGACTGATTTTACATCTTGATGAACTCAGAACTAGCTGAATGGCAAGCCTAGAGGAACTCAACTCTAACTGCAGGTGCCATAAAATATTACCAGAGTCGCTTCTCTGGTCATAGTCAGCCTGGAAGCTCTCCAAAGTTGTGCCCTCATGCCTGGCTGTGCCTCACTTCAGTACCTTCTATTCTCTAGTAAAAGAACTTGGCTTCTGGGCCATGTCTCAAAGCCTCAGGCTCAGTTTCCAACCAGTGAGAGAACGTTGGCTCAATGAAGGCCTTTGCCCACTGGGAGTTACAGGGCTGTGAATGGAGGGAGTCAATTCATCTTACCTTAGAACTTCATCTGGGGGAATCAGAAGGGGGATTCCCTCTTGAGCCCTTACAAGCTCCCCAGGGATGGATGGAGCAGCAGAGGATCCTAGGCTCTTCCCTTTCTGTACTTCCTAGGCCTTCCAGATGCTGGGGAATCCCCATTCTGCTTCTGCACATCTGCTAAGCCACGGAGGGCAGACCCCACAGAGAAGCTCTATGGGAAATCCAACGTCATTCAGTGTCGCTAGTTAACATGTACCTTACCTAGCTTCTTGAAGGCTTATACTTAAACCACTAGGAGCTCCACACAGTAGGAGGTTAAGTTGGTTTTTGAGTTAACAAATCCATGAATGTGGTCAAATTTGTAGAGGTATTTTAGAATACTAATAGCTCCAAGACTGGTTTATAATTTGCAAAACACTTTTTGCAACAACCATTCCAAACTGATTGTGTGAAACATCCTCCCATTCTGTAAGATGAGGAAAATGTACCTCTGAGAGGTTACTTACTTGCTTGTATTACATGGCCAGTGGGGCTCTGGCTCAAACCTAAATCTACTCAAAATCCAGTGTTTTTCTCTCTCTACCCCACTATCTTTCAGTTGCCACAGATTTTTGCTGTGGGTCCTTTTCCCTAGTGACTGACGTAAGAACTCAGTTTCCTTACCTGTAAAATGGAGGGGATTGAACTAGGTGAACTTTAAGGTTCAGTCCTAAACCTTGTGATCCCTTTTGGAGTTAACCAGGAAAAGCTGAAACTGTTTTAAATTTTTCAGATCAGTGACGAGATGATGAAAAGAATCCCAATCTTAAAGAATCTTCATTTCCGAGAGAAGAAAGCAGGGAAAGACATCACCTTACAGAAGGAACACTTGGCACATTTGAAAACCAGCCACAGGTGAGCACACCTCCAGAACCCTGGCCAGACAGCCTCCATCAGACCTCTGGACATGGCCCATTCTTCCCATCTGGACGATGAGCGCATAACTTCGAAAACAGAATCCTCCACTGTCACCACTGTTTATGTGGGTAACATTCCTCAGGATGCTAGAGTGAGCGATATGAAGAGAACTCTTAGGGAATGCGATGCAGTGCCTTTGAGGCTGAATTGGCAAGGAGCCCAGGGCAGGGCTTTCCTTGATTACAAGGACCAGGTGACTGCGGAGGGTGTCGTCTCCTCCTTAAAAGGCTTAAGCTTTAGTGGGAATACTTTGTGGGTCAACTTAGCAAAGAAGCAGAAGTGATGGGACGGTCAGTGGTGAAGGGGAAAGCACGCCCTTTCTTATTGTGTTGTAAAGGTTCTTCAGACATTTAAACAGTTTTACTCCTTTGATAGTCAGTGATATTGGAGGTCTGTGTGTCCGAATCCCAAGGCCAGAGTACTCTGTGACTCCCTTTCTGTTCTTGGAGAGATCACATTACCACTTGGTAGAAGAATTGAAGTACCACTCGGTACTTCATACTGAAGTGTCTCAAGCAATAAATAGGAGAAGGTTAGGATGTCCTGGGGGTTATTAAATTTTAATTAATGCCTACCATTTTTCTGATGACTGGAATATAAAGCATAAAAATCACTGGTTGTCCATTCAGAGAGACTGAAAACCGTCCTTCACTCAAGAGAAGAAAATTTACCTTAAATCTGAATATCGAAAAGGCATTAGGGGTTGAGGGAGGCCGGGATGAGGAAACAAATGGTGTCAGATGGTAGCAACAACAGCCCTCAGGTAATCCTAGAAAGACCAAGGGCAAGTTGGGAGAAGGAGTAGACAGACTGGGTAGAGCCAAGCTGAATTGGATCTTTGCTGTGACATTGCTGGTGTTTACATCAGCGGGCCAGTTCTACCCATCCTTTACCTGGATCATCTTGCTAGCCCCCCCGCACCCCGGCTTCCTCTGCAGGCCTGAAGATGCCAGCTAGAGAGCTAAGCTTATGTGTGTAATTAGACAGGAAAGGTTGAGTCTTTATAGGGAGATAGGGCTTTAAATAATAGGTTTTGAAAAAATAATAATAACAACAGAACCCTTCACATACACATGCTTGCTTAATACCTCATGATATTTTCTCTCCAGTTCCCTGTTCCTGAAAAACAAGCCGGATTTTGGCTGAACTGTACTTTCTAAACAGAAGCACTTTTGCAGTTGATCCTGGGCAGAAAGTCAAAACAAGCATCTAGAGGGAGATTTTATTATTATTTTTTAAATGTATATGAGTTGGAAAGGGTTTTTCAGCCAGAGGGTATTGCTAAGTGTATTTTAAGTAGATTATTATGCCTCCAGAGGGTCAGGCCTTTCATACAGCATTGAATAAACATTCTCAAACCTATCAAGTTTTCCCTAAGGGGAGAAAAAAAGCTTAAGAAGTATTTTGTCTCCATTTTTATAATAAACACAAAGAAGATGCTTTGGAAAGAAAATAGGTCCTCGAATTATTTTCATCATCAAATATTGAGTTCTTTTCCTGGTTTTCCTGGATAAAATGAAGGGAGGTAAATCTATTGATTCAGGTTCTGGTGTCCTTTTAAAGAAGGTGATCGTAGTAGTTTACCGGACCATTGCCTCGTGATCACAAAGTGCATTCACATTTCCTGTTTTATTATTACAACAAGCATCCCTTTGAAAGTAGGAAGGCAGAAACCATTATGTCCCTTTTGAGACCCAGAAAGTTGAAGTGACTTGTCCATGGCTCTTAAATCTCCAGGACTCCAAGGCCTACACTCTCCCCATTATACAAACTCCATTCAAAGAAGTTTAGTCACATAAACAAGGTATTCAGGGCCTTCTCATTCCAAAAAGAGGATCCTGGGTTCTCAGGACTCTTCCAACTGTAGCCTCAGGCAGCTGACGTCCATCCAGGTGGAAACCTACCGGTCTGGACTCGGCAACAGTTTGCTGTCTAGGGGTCAGCCAAGACAGCTATGGAGACACCAGTCTCTGCTAAGTCAACCACTATGAAAGGAGATATTTGCCCATAGCAACCCCTTTCCTGCCTATTAGATATCTCCACTCCAGGACATCAGTGGTATGGTGAATAGAATGCTGGACCTGGATTCAGGAAGACAAGTTCAAATCAAACTTCAGATACCCACTAACTGTATGACGCTGGACAAGTCACTAAACCTCTGTCAGCCTCAATTTCCTTATCTGTAAAGTGAGAGTAATAATAGCATCTGCCTCCCAGGGGAGCACCAGATACGATAATGTACACATAGCACTTTATAAACCTTCAAACACTATATAAATGCTAGTTATTATTATCATTATTCATATTCATGTGGGTGCCTAGTTTTAATTTTCTTTAATGTTATGCTTTAGATTTAAGTAAAAATTGCATTTTCCCCAACCTGATTGCTGTATAACTGGCACAATAAAACAAAAATGAAGGGAATCACAGCTTTGCCTTTCCTGGAAATAAATACAGTTTTGAGGTTTCCCTCTAGTAGCAGAGGCAGATAGCACCCTTTGCTCACAAGCCCAAGCCTCTTGCTACCTTCTATCAGGTAGCCCCCTCCATCTCCACAGCTGAAGAGTTGTCACATTCACCTCAAACATGAGAAACTTTTCAGCCCAGCAAAGTCACCCCCTAGCATAAATCCCATGGTAATTTGAGCAGATCCTTGTTTTAGGAAAATAGTGGTAACCACGGTTTTTGCATTATAACCAGCTGGCATTCACATAGCAGTGACTCAGAAACTGATGTGGATTTTTTTTTCCTCTTAGTTTACTGCCTTGCATAAGAAAAAAAAGAGGTTTTAGTAAAAGTTAGGCTTTTATGCCCAGCACATAGGACCCTTATTAAGTGATTTTTTAAAAAGATTTTATAGAATACTTGATAAAGTGTTTTCATTTATGTTATCTCATTTAACCTTCACATCAATCCTGTGCATGGGGCAAAGCAATAGCATCCCTATTTTAAATGTGAGGAATCTTGGGCGCAAAGTGATGGAAGTGACTGTCTCAAGGCCACACAACTACTTGAAACTCGAACCCAGATCTTTGTCCTCGGGCTTCTCTACTTTTGTCTGCCGCATTCCCTCAGAATACGTCCCACCAGAGTGGTGTCATGTTAAAAGGAGAAAGGATTCAATGGAACTTATTTTAAAAGCTTTTCTCCTCCTCCCTCCCTTTGGGAATCTTCTGTAAGAAACACTTCTATATCTGCATTGCTTGCCTCTACCCATATCTATTGTCATCCTGTGACTTGTTCTGTTTCTACCAAAGAGAATCTGTTAGTGAGACAGCATGGTGTGACTGGCACGTAGTAGGTGTTCAATAAATGTGGATTGGATTGGATTAAATAGTATGGTGCCAAATGTTCTAGACTGGGAATTGGTAGACCTGGATAGGAATTCTAGTTCTGACACTTAGGGAGAAGTCACTTCTTTCTCTGAGCCCTGGTTTTCTCATCTGTAAAACAGACATGGTAGTAAAATTTGTAAACCTAATAATAATAGCTAGTATCTATGTAGTGCTTTAAAATAATATTTACAAATATCTCATTTTATCCTTGCAACAACCCTGGGAGGTAGGCGCTATTATTATAATCCCCATTTTACAATTGAGGAAACTGAGGTAAATAGAGGTCAAATGACTTGTCCAGGGTCACACAGCTAGTAAATGTCCAAGGTTTGATCTGAACTCTATGGCCTTATATCCTTCCACACCTCGTACCTAATTGGAAGGACAGCACATAAAAGAAGGTCAACAGCAGCGTGGATGGAAAGGCTGGTCCATCCAAGTTTCTTTGCAGACCAGATGGCAGTGCCCAGGGGTTTGGAGAGCATAGCTGCAGGGCAAATGGTAAAAGTTCCAGTGGTCCTTAGGACACTGGACAATAAGGTCTGGTTGGCCCTCCATCTTACCAACAGGATTGTATTCATCATTTGACACTAACCATAGCTTCATTATTTCTCCATTAAATACAAAACAGACTATTTACATGTTGTTGTTTGTCCTTGGCTTTCAAAGAGGGTCAATGACATCATGAGGGTGATGTCTTGATGTGTGCTGTGAAATTAGATTTAAGTGAGGCAGAGCTGCACAAAGTCATCAGCCTCACTCTCTCTTCCAGAGTCACTGAGGTCCAGTGGCAGGACAAAAGTCAACAACTGGAGATGGCCTGGGATGCAGTGGATGACATTGGTGTCTTCAGTGTCTAATCAAGCTCTAAGCACTCTGCAACACCTGCTTCAGGTGGCTTCATGGGCTTTGGAACAAATTGTTTACATCCACCCATTCTGCTGGGGGAAATCTTCACATGCTTGAGGTAGACACCCCCCACCTCTCCAACGGGTTCAAGGCCCATCAGTTACCCTCAACCTGGTTTAGCCTGTCTGCCGAGCCAATTTATTGGGGGCTGGCCTCTGTGCATGCTGCAGCTTCTTGGAACCACAAATGAGAGTTGAATGAATCAGATGGACAACAAAGGTGAATGAGCATCCATGAAAAGGACTCAGCAGCCTTCACACTATAGGTGCTGGTCCTCCTTAACACCCCAAATGCCAGTATAAGAGCTTTCACTGGCATACCCTTCCCGAGGGAGAGAATTGGGCCATGAAGACATTGCTATGAACTCTATAGTTCATCTTTCTTCTTAAGAATCTGGATTACTTATTGCATATAATTTTTTATAAGATACTGTCATGGTTGGTAATCTTTAATGTAGTTCTTCTGACTGTGGGTCAAGGGTTATGTTTATCCTTCTGTTTCTTTTCTTTTACTAACCTTCCTTTAACGATACCCCCTTTTCTATACTGTTCTAACATCTTTCTCACAAAAACTCTGGCAAGAGGGTATCTCAAGGGTACAGGGAGTCCCAAAATTCTTGGTGCTTAAGCTTTATCTAATAGCTTAAAAATGCACCAACACTTTTGGAACACTCTGTTTTTCCCCATTTTACAAATGAGGAAACAGGCTAAAAGGTGAAGTGACTTGCCCATGGTCACCTGGTGCTCTTTTTACTGTATCGATATTTCTTTCAAGACTGCTTCTATGCCCCCACATTTGAATTGTCAACATAAGGATGCCATCTTGAGTTGTTTGCCACCCTTTTGACTGTATGACTTGTTTCCTCTTGTGTTCATTTAAGAACATTTCTAGTATATAATAGAAAAGAGGTATGTGATCTCTTTGAGGACTAAGAAGCAAATATTGCTTTTTTCATTTTGTGTAGAAGTTTCTATTCTAGTTTTAGGACTGTTGGCTAGATTTGCCCAGGGATTCTGGACATAAATGAGCTACCTTTGACAGCTGTATTAACTCATTTGGGCCATAAGGGGGTGCTAGAGAACAAGCTAATATGGTGCTTAGAGCACCCCCAACCTTTTTTTTTTTTTTTTTTTAAATACTGGCAATGCTTGAAAATTTTCTGAAAGGCACCTGGTAGGAGGTTGAGGGAGAGCAAAGATGAGGGGTTTCTCAACGCCTTATGGATAAAATTGTTGTTGTTATTGTTATATATGAGTGTATTGGAGGAGGGGAGGTCTAGAAAAGAAATACCACTGATAGAAAGGATGGAGGAAGAGAAAAAAAGTTTCTTGAAAAAATTTTTTAAAACTTTTGCTGTAGTGCTTTGGGGGTGGGGTGATAGGGTGCAAATTGCCCAAAATTTCTCTTGCAATGCCTGGCTTTTTCCCACCTCAGTGTTTTTGCTTACACTTCCTCTTCCCCACCCTCCCTATGGCTATCTGTCAAAATATTGCTTAGCTAAAATACTACCTATTCCATGAAGCCTTCCCGGATCTCCCCAGCTGGATGTAACTTCTTTCTCTGAACCCTGTAGCCCTTTGCCCCTCTTAACACATCCTACAGCTTATATAGTTATTTGTATACTTACTTAGTCCTGTATCTTATCCTTTTCTGCAGTGCTTAGCACAGTTCCCTTGTCTTTGAAAATAAATCATAAAAGGCACTTCAGGTTATTTGAAGAGCTTGCTCTATCATAAAACCACGTAAGATCTCCTTGTTTGTAAGGAAGTGAATTCCCTACTCAGCCTGAAGCTCACAGCCTCATGGGGTAAATATGGAGGAGTCTCTCTGATATGGTTTCATGGGTTACTTTCCAGGCATAGTATCATCCACACACATGTAAATCCCTCAGGACTTTGCCTTTCTGGGTCAAGAACAATGGTTCGAGACTGTCCCTGCCCAGGCGCACTGCATATCCTGTTCATTAATTTGAGAGAACAATCTTGATGACCTAACATGGCATGTAAACTCTAATATAGTTCATGAGGAACCCAGTTAGATGGCAAAATTTGGGAGAAATCACTTGCATTAGGGATATGTGCAGCCTGGCATAATGCCCACCAACTTTGCGGAACCATCCATTTGTTCATATGGACATGATGACATTAGGCCTTGGAGAACCTTAATTAAGTGAAATTTGGGTCTATGCTGAAAGTCTTCCCTAAGTTAGATGCTATGGAGCATTTATGTTTGCCAGACTTCATTCTCTTTGTGAAGGAAATTTGGCAAGGAAGGAGTTAAAATGATCATTAATCATAGGGCAAGCTAGGCATTAAATTTTAGTGTATGCCCCCTACTTGCCAGGAATTGTCCTCCTTGACACTCATGGACTCAGAGTGTGTTAGGGTTGACAATGACTTTGGGTGTCATTTTGTCCAAGTTGCTCATTTTTGCAGAAGAAACTGAAGGTTACTGAAGACCGTGGAGAAGTGACTTGAAGAATATAAGGTACCATGCCATATGAGGACCAGGTGATAAGATGAAAGGGGGTTAGCCTCAAGAAGAGAAGACTTTGGAAGAAGTAGAGGCACACGTGATCAAGTAATTGAAGTACCAGTAAATGGAATAAGGCTTAGATTTGCATGACTGCCCCAATGGGTAGAGCTTGGAGCTGTATGAGGAAGTTATCAGGAGGCTAATTTGGGCTTGATGTAAAATATTTTGTCATTTTTATTTATAATATTTATTTTATTTATAATAAAAATTGTCATTTTTATTATATTGGCTCTATTTCCTGATAGTGTTCCTAATATTGTAAAATATCTTTTTTCGTTATTTCCCTTAATATTCTTGACCTTTTGTTCTTCCAGGTGAATTTTGTTGTTATTTTTTCTAGCTCTATAAAATGACTTTTGGTAATTTGGTTGGTATGGCACTGAATAAACAAATTAACTTAGGTAGAATTGTCATTTTTATTATATTGGCTCAGCCTACCCCTGGACAATTGGCATTTTTCCAGTTGTTTAGGTTTTACTTTATTTGTATGAATTTGATGTAAGGAAAAACTAACTCAATTAGAGCTTTTCAGAAGTGGAACTGGACTACTTTGGGAGGTCTTCAAACATTGAGTGACCACTTGCCAAGAATGTTGCAAGGATCCTTCTTTGGGCATTGGTTGGACTGGATGACTTAGGAACTGCATCTGACATTCTGTGATGCTTTGATTTGCCCGAGGTCACACTGTGCCAATTGCCTTATCTTACTCTGGATTTCAGATCCTCAGGTGATTGACAAAAATGTATCAGTGACAAGGTAGCCGCTGGTATCCATCTGCTGACCAAGGTTATAAAAATACACAAATGCAAAAACCTACCTATTCATTTTTTCCAATTAAATTGTTTTTTAAGAGATCGTAGAACCACAAAGCAAATAAGAAGGGATCTAAGAGGTCACAGGTGAGCCCATCCCCCTGCAAGATTCATGAATCACTTCCCTAACACCCTAATGGAAATCTTTTTTTTTTTAAATACTAGTTTCCTTTATTCTTATAGTTAATTTTAATGGTATTTTTTTAGCATTCATTTTTACATTTTGAGTTCCAAATTTTTCTCCCTCCCTCCTTAACTCCCTCCCCTCTTCCTAAAATGGTAGGCAATTTGATATAGGTTATACATGTGCTATCATGTAAAACATATTTCCATATTAGTTACAGTTGTGAAAGAAGAAATGGATCAAAAGGGGAAAAAATACAAAAAAAAAACCTAAAAAAACAAGTGAAAAAATATACTTCAGTCTGTATTTGGAGTCCATCAATTCTTTATCTGGATGTGGATAGCATTTTCCTTCTTGAGTCCATTGTACTTGTCTTGGATCATTGTGTTGCTGAGAACAGCTGAGTCATTCATAGTGGATCCACAATGTTGCTGATACTGTGTACAATGTTTCCTTGGTTCTGCTCATTTCACTTTGCATCAGTTCATACAAGTCTTTCCAGTTTTTTCTGAACTCTGCTTGCTCATCATTTCTTATGGAACAATAGTATTCTATTACATTCATATACCACAGCTTGTTTAGGCATTCCTCAATTGATGGGCATCCCCTGAATTTCCTGTATTTTGCCACCATGAAAAGGACTACTATAAATATTTTGTCACATGTAAGTTCTTTCCCCTTTTTTTTATGATATCTTTGGTATACAGACCTAGTAGTGGCATTGCTGGATCAAAGGGTGTGCGCAGTTTGGTTGCCCTTTGGGTATAGAGTTCCAAATTGCTCTCTGAATGGTTGGATCAGTTCACAACTCCACCCACAGTGCGTTAGTGTCC